GGATCTGTGAATATACAGACATAAACATTCCTTTAATGTCATTCTTCAAATTTATTTATTCGAATTTATTTATTCGAATAAAGACCATGCTTTGAATAAAGGCCCCTCCCCCATCCTTCGACACGTCCCCATTGAATCTCATTTTGAAAAAACTTTATTTGTCCTTGCAAAATAAAAAAGAAGGAAATTCCTTTTCCATTGAAATACAAAATACAGTAGAAAATTTATAAATATGAACTCACAACCACGAAAAACATCACAAGGCCAAGAAACATCTAAGGTAGACAATAATATAAATTAATAGCCTCCCTTGTGAATAAACGTTTACGTTTTCCTCACATAAACCCTTAACTGACTTTAAACAAAACTAATGCAGCATCATTCTCAATACGTTCTATTAATGTTCTACTCCAGTGAAATTACATTTATTTCAACCCGATTGGGATCATCAGTCTTTATAATCACGTAATAACACATTTTCACGGTAATTTCTCTATTGTAGTTCCACATTTACAGTGAAATTAAAGGGCGTTTATATGAGTATATTATACGTATCCATTTCACACAAAAAAATAAACGCCTCCATCGAATAAACGCAGTTTAAAAACTCTTCTCAACAATAATCGCGTTAATTTGAATATATACCTTCTCACAGATAGGCCTAGAAGCTGACTTGTAAAGTTAAAGTGATCAGTTTGTTTAGGCTGTGCCCAGGAAGTAGCGCCAGGGTTTGCCCGACGGGGAGGGGGAGAGTTCCCCGACGAGGGTATCGATCACTAAGAGGAGAGCATGGCGTATCTAGAAGTCTTGAAATGGGGGACTGATGGGTGGCGCGAAGGTAAAGCGGGGGAGGGCTCGATGATCAGTTGAGGGGCGCTAATTCGCAAAATATGGTGATTTTAGGTTCCTAATTTCCTCTTCGTAATTATGTTACATACGGTATCTTTAACACAAATATTTGTAATAATCACTACATCACGTCATTTTATCTATAGGTTCTGCAATGTACAGCCTTGGTTTTGTTGCTGAGGGAACACGGACAGATTTGGAAGATGGTTCTGATCTTAATTCGGGTTCAACAGTATGGGTACTCCCTGGCTTAGAAATTCTCCAGCCTGGGTATATTTTGTCTGTTGAGGCATATGTAAAAACACCCGAACTAGTGAATTTATTGGTAAGTAAAACATGAGGGGTTTTCACAATTATCAAAATGTTCACAAGTGTACAGCCAGTACACTAGGGGCTTGGGCGGATGCAAGGGGTGGAGACGGTGCGATAGCACCCCTAAATTTGTATCAAGACAAATAATTGTTGTATTATATTGTTAACATAAATTATTGGTAAGATTTTTAAGGTATGAGAGTGCAAATTTTTTCTATAATAACATTTTTGTTTTAGTTTTTTTTTTTTTTTTTTTTGGTGGGGGTTTCTTAATTCTCAGTTGTACTTGGTAATTAAAATTATTCGTATTTCAGTTGTACTGTAAAGTTTATGCCAATGGTTGGAATTTAAAAAATGAAATCAATTACGAATATTTGTCTCGTAGATTTTGAAGCCGATTTGTGCAGGAGTGGGTGATGTGTACTGTCCCCATAACAACGAGTGTGTCACAGAGAGCAGTTGCAACTACGTATTTGATTACCCGTCAAATCCAGAGTACACTGAATATTGTGACACAAACGGGATATACTGTGCCTTATCAGGGACATGTGAAGATCCCGATAATACGCCAGAGTGCACAGTTAAGAATAACAGGTATGACGAAGCAAGTCCAAGAAATGACTATGAGGTGGTTGCTTCTATACCTGTGATGTTCACCAAAACCAACGCCTACGAATACGTGAAGATACCAATTGCTGACATCAAAGCGGGGGTTGTTGCGGAAATTGGCTATATAATTGGCTACGAAACTACTTTAGCAGGCATCGGCTGGCAAAATGTCACAAATAATACCATTGAGTACCAATACTCGGCGGTGCCTCACGGCGTTGGAAATACACTGGCTAAATCGGACGCTACAGCCTTTGAGATTCAGCATTACATCCGGGTGACCACAGTGAAAGAACTACAGACTCTCATTACGTATGCATTTCCAACCTACGGAGACCATCCCGTCACAGTTGGTATAACTAATGATTTGGGTTCTGAACAAAAAGCTTGCACAGTTACCATTCAACAAAATATAACAGGTATGCCTGCCTTGAACAGGTGCGTTTTATTCTTGTAAAAAGGTAAACAAATATCATAATATATGTAAAGATTTATATA